CTCTGTGTCTCTCTGTGTCTCTCTGTGTCTCTCTGTGTCTCTCTGTGTCTCTCTGTGTCTCTCTGTGTCTCTCTGTGTCTCTCTGTGTCTCTCTGTGTCTCTCTGTGTCTCTCTGTGTCTCTCAGTGTCTCTCTGTGTCTCTCAGTGTCTCTCTGTGTCTCTCTGTGTCTCTCTGTGTCTCTCTGTGTCTCTCTGTGTCTCTCTGTGTCTCTCTGTGTCTCTCTGTGTCTCTCTGTGTCTCTCTGTGTCTCTCTGTGTCTCTCTGTGTCTCTCTGTGTCTCTCTGTGTCTCTCTGTGTTTCTCTGTGTCTCTCTGTGTCTCTCTGTGTCTCTGTGTCTCTCTGTGTCTCTCTGTGTCTCTCTGTGTCTCTCTGTGTCTCTCTGTGTCTCTCTGTGTCTCTCTGTGTCTCTCTGTGTCTCTCTGTGTCTCTCTGTGTCTCTCTGTGTCTCTCTGTGTTTTTCTGTGTCTCTCTGTGTCTCTCTGTGTCTCTCTGTGTCTCTCTGTGTCTCTCTGTGTCTCTCTGTGTCTCTCTGTGTCTCTCTGTGTCTCTCTGTGTCTCTTTGTGTCTCTCTGTGTCTCTCTGTGTCTCTCTGTGTCTCTCTGTGTCTCTCTGTGTCTCTCTGTGTCTCTCTGTGTCTCTCTGTGTCTCTCTGTGTCTCTCTGTGTCTCTCTGTGTCTCTCTGTCTGTGTCTCTCTGTCTGTGTCTCTCTGTCTGTGTCTCTCTGTGTCTCTCTGTGTCTCTCTGTGTCTCTCTGTGTCTCTCTGTGTCTCTCTGTGTCTCTCTGTGTCTCTCTGTGTCTCTCTGTGTCTCTCTGTGTCTCTCTGTGTCTCTCTGTGTCTCTCTGTGTCTCTCTGTGTGTCTCTGTGTGTCTCTGTGTGTCTCTGTGTGTCTCTGTGTGTCTCTGTGTGTCTCTGTGTGTCTCTGTGTGTATCTGTGTGTCTCTGTGTGTCTCTTTGTGTCTCTGTGTGTCTCTGTGTGTCTCTGTGTGTCTCTGTGTGTCTCTGTGTGTCTCTGTGTGTCTCTGTGTGTCTCTGTGTGTCTCTGTGTGTCTCTGTGTGTCTCTGTGTGTCTCTGTGTGTCTCTGGTTGTCTCTGTGTGTCTCTGTGTGTCTCTGTGTGTCTCTGTGTGTCTCTGTGTGTCTCTGTGTGTCTCTGTGTGTCTCTGTGTGTCTCTGTGTGTCTCTGTGTGTCTCTGTGAGTCTCTGTGAGTCTCTGTGTGTCTCTGTGTGTCTCTGTGAGTCTCTGTGTGTCTCTGTGTGTCTCTGTGTGTCTCTGTGTGTCTCTGTGTGTCTCTGTGTGTCTCTGTGTGTCTCTGTGTGTCTCTGTGTGTCTCTGTGTGTCTCTGTGTGTCTCTGTGTGTCTCTGTGTATCTCTGTGTGTCTCTGTGTGTCTCTGTGTGTCTCTGTGTGTCTCTGTGTGTCTGTGTGTGTCTGTGTGTGTCTGTGTGTGTCTGTGTCTGTGTGTGTGTCTGTGTGTGTGTCTGTGTGTGTGTCTGTGTGTGTGTCTGTGTGTGTGTGTCTGGTGTCTCTGTGTGTCTCTGTGGTGTCTCTGTGGTGTCTCTGTGTGTCTCTGTGTGTCTCTGTGTGTCTCTGTGTGTCTCTGTGTGTCTCTGTGTGTCTCTGTGTGTCTCTGTGTGTCTCTGTGTGTCTCTGTGTGTCTCTGTGTGTCTCTGTGTGTCTCTGTGTGTCTCTGCGTGTCTCTGTGTGTCTCTGCGTGTCTCTGCGTGTCTCTGCGTGTCTCTGCGTGTCTCTGTGTGTCTCTGTGTGTCTCTGTGTGTCTCTGTGTGTCTCTGTGTGTCTCTGTGTGTCTCTGTGTGTCTCTGTGTGTCTCTGTGTGTCTCTGTGTGTCTCTCTGTGTGTCTCTGTGTCTCTCTGTGTCTCTCTGTGTCTCTCTGTGTCTCTCTGTGTCTCTCTGTGTCTCTCTGTGTCTCTCTGTGTCTCTCCGTGTCTCTCCGTGTCTCTCTGTGTCTCTCTGTGTCTCTCTGTGTCTCTCTGTGTCTCTCTGTGTCTCTCTGTGTCTCTCTGTGTCTCTCTGTGTGTCTCTGTGTGTCTCTGTGTGTCTCTGTGTGTCTCTGTGTGTCTCTGTGTGTCTCTGTGTGTCTCTGTGTGTCTCTGTGTGTCTCTGTGTGTCTCTGTGTGTCTCTGTGTGTCTCTGTGTGTCTCTGTGTGTCTCTTTGTGTCTCTGGGTGTCTCTGTGTGTCTCTGTGTGTCTCTGTGTGTCTCTGTGTGTCTCTGTGTGTCTCTGTGTGTCTCTGTGTGTCTCTGTGTGTGTCTGTGTGTGTCTGTGTGAGTCTGTGTGTGTCTGTGTGTGTCTGTGTGTGTCTGTGTGTGTCTGTGTGTGTCTGTGTGTGTGTCTGTTTGTGTCTGTGTGTGTCTGTGTGTGTCTGTGTGTGTCTGTGTGTGTCTGTGTGTGTCTGTGTGTGTCTGTGTGTGTCTGTGTGTGTCTGTGTGTGTCTGTGTGTGTCTGTGTGTGTCTGTGTGTGAATGTGTGTGTCTGTGTGTGTCTGTGTGTGTCTGTGTGTGTCTGTGTGTGTCTGTGTGTGTCTGTGTGTGTCTGTGTGTGTCTGTGTGTGTCTGTGTGTGTCTGTGTGTGTCTGTGTGTGTCTGTGTGTGTCTGTGTGTGTCTGTGTGTGTCTGTGTGTGTCTGTGTGTGTCTGTGTGTGTCTGTGTGTGTCTGTGTGTGTCTGTGTGTGTCTGTGTGTGTCTGTGTGTGTCTGTGTGTGTCTGTGTGTGTCTGTGTGTGTCTGTGTGTGTCTGTGTGTGTCTGTGTGTGTGTGTCTGTGTGTGTCTGTGTGTGTCTGTGTGTGTCTGTGTGTGTCTGTGTGTGTGTGCGTCTGTGTGTGTGTCTGTGTGTGTCTGTGTGTGTGTCTGTGTGTGTCTGTGTGTGTCTGTGTGTGTCTGTGTGTGTCTGTGTGTGTCTGTGTGTGTCTGTGTGTGTCTGTGTGTGTCTGTGTGTGTCTGTGTGTGTCTGTGTGTGTCTGTGTGTGTGTGTCTCTGTGTGTCTCTGTGGTCTCTGTGTCTCTGTGTGTGTGTGTGTGTGTGTGTGTGTGTGTGTGTGTGTGTGTGTGTGTGTGTGTGTGTGTGTGTGTGTGTGTCTGTGTGTGTGTGTGTGTTTGTTTGTTTGTTTGTTTGTTTGTTTTTTTTGTTTGTTTACAGATAATATATACATATACGGGGCCCTCATTTCTGAGAAAGTTCCCATCCAAACTGACAGTCATAGAGTTCTGCCCACTGTTCACTGTGGCGCAAGAGCAAAGCGGCCCGCGCACCCAATCGGCGGCCGTCTGCGAAGTGGAGGCGAGACCTGGCGGCAAAATGAGCCTGCGAGCCACTCTACACTCTTGAAGCCAAAAGGGACTATCCAAAATCTAGGAAACACCTGAGGCTGGTCAAGATGAACGCGAACATGCGGAAATTGACTCAGGCCGACAAGCATTTTCCGGCAATTGATGCATCTTTGCGGCTTCATCCAGCCTCCGTCATGTCCAAGGCATGCGCGCGGATCCAGTGTGGTTCTTCGGGTTGGCCCTTGGTCGGCCCTTTTCTTCAGCATTTCTGCCTTTTGAAGCCCCGGCCACCAAACATGCCTCTGCTCTGCCCTTTTGCTTTTCTGATGTTGCTTGTTGCCGTTTTTGAGTGCGGAAAAACTCAGATCATGATCTCTCGCTCCTCCTCTCTCGCTTCGAGGTGATGCTGGTAAACCTGCACGGCGCGGGATTGTTCCTGCCCGCCTGCTCCAATCCGAGCCAGCTGTCGATCCGGTTGCGAGCAAAGCAATGGCTTCCTACATGCGCATGCGGAGACCTCCTGGAAGGCGTTCTTGGTTCGGGCTGCTTTCCACGAACAGCCGAATGAGAACCCGCAGAAACAAGACGCGGAACCTGCAAGGAAGCCTAGCCCCTTCCTGGTGCAGCCAAAAAGTAGCTACAACAACCCAAAACTCCAGCGATGCATGAGGTTATTGCAAGGCACACACGCAGCGGCAACGCACATGTACCTATTTTGCTTCACGCTCCTTGCCAAACTGCCACATTTAAGCGCCTGGTGCTCGTGGCCGCATTGTTTTTTGCACTTCAACTTGAAATTCTCTCGTGAGAGAGCGCGACGCTAGGAAGGCTAAGTGAGGAATGGGTAGAGCTCGAGATTCTTCAAGCGACCCTCGGAATTTGGGCCGCGCCCATCCTTGGCAACTCCCGATTGCACTAGCACCAAAGTCCTGCGGCGGCCCCGGTTGAGCCTATTGCTTGGGCCAGTGCCGAGAACCCAAACACCCACAGCTTGAGAAAAACAGAGGTGCGACCCGTGATGTCTCCCCCCCACAAGTGGACACAAGTTTACCTCAGTTAAACCTTAAACCCTAAACACAACAGCACAAACAGCCCAACAGCTCAACAACCCAACAGTCAAACAACCCCGACAGCCCAACAGCCCGCCAGCCCAACAACCAATCAACCCGACAGCCAGCCAACAGTCCAACAGTCCAAGGGTCGTCCATGACCAGCTCCAGGGTCCTCACAAAGATGATGCCCACAGCGAAGGAGAGCAACAGCTTGGCATCTTGCCAGGCCGCTTCCAGGCCTTCCCCAGCAACCTTGCGGAGTGACTATGGGCCACCCGGGCCACCCATTCACCATTGCCCTTGTAGGCCCTCGTTTTCGTGGTTCCAAACATTCACCGAAACACGCTTCCAAACCTTTTGGAAGCTGGAACCACGAGAACCGAAACCATCTGGCCTCGCTGGAGGGTGACGAAAGCGCGCCGGCAGAGGACACCAGCACGACAAGCAGGATAGAGAACATGGAGGGTAGATCGTGAGAAATCTAGTCGAAGGCCTGTTGTAAAACGTATCTGGGGCCGAAAAGCCACGCGTCGAAGACTGCACAATGCTGACAATCCAAGGAATAAGGGTGAATGAACAAACTTGCTAACTGCTCTGGCCATGATCAGCGCTTCCCAAGAAGAGTGGCTCTTCAGGCACCCTTGGGACCCTGCGTGTCTTTTCCCTGATGGTGCGCTCTACCACTCTGAGTCACTCTGCTTGTGGGATCTATGTACAGCCAGGCGTGAAGCAATGTATCGAGCAAGCAGCGCCAAGGGAAGCGAGCTCCGAATCCAGAGCTATGCGCTGCTCAAAGCTTCTTCTCTGGCATGGCCGGCTCCTTCTCAGATCCGTCACCGATGATGGCGCTGACGCCCTGGGCCAAAACAGTGTCAAGGCGGTCGAAGACAGCCGCAAGTTGCCCCGCAGCTTCCTCCACAAAGCTGCCCTCTGACGAGTCTTCAGGACGAATCACGAGATCCTTCGTGCGACCCTCCGCACCCAGCTCCTGCTGCAACCCCACGGCTGAGAAGATGGTGATCAGGTCCAGCATGGCTTGATGCGCTTAGTCGCTTGGGCTCGGGCAAGGCTCCAGGCTCGGGCAAAAATGTGGAGGTAGCCAATCCTAATCCTTGACTAATCACCCAGGGAAATCACAACGAAGGGATCACGTTATGTAACTCACGGACAGCCCGCCCAGAGCGGGCAAACTTCAAACACAAGCCGACAGAAGGTGCCTTGAAATGCTTCAACACCCTTAAGCGCCTGAGTGTCTTTTACCTGATGCTCTCTACCACTCCGAGTCACTCTGCCTGTGGGATTTATGTACAGCCAGGCGTGAAGCAATGTATCGAGCAAGCAGCGCCAAGGGAAGCGAGCTCCGAATCCAGAGCTATGCGCTGCTCAAAGCTTCTTCTCTGGCATGGCCGGCTCCTTCTCAGATCCGTCACCGATGATGGCGCTGACGCCCTGGGCCAAAACGGTGTCAAGGCAGTCGAAGACAGCCGCAAGTTGCCCCGCAGCTTCCTCCACAAAGCTGCCCTCTGACGAGTCTTCAGGACGAATCACGAGATCCTTCGTGCGACCCTCCGCACCCAGCTCCTGCTGCAACCCCACGGCTGAGAAGATGGTGATCAGGTCCAGCATGGCTTGATGCGCTTAGTCGCTTGGGCTCGGGCAAGGCTCCAGGCTCGGGCAAAAATGTGGAGTGGTGGCCAATCCTAATCCTTGATTAATCACCCAGGGAAATCACAACGAAGGGATCACGTTACGTAACTCACGGACAGCCCGCCCAGAGCGGGCAAACTTCAAACACAAGCCGACAGAAGGTGTCTTGAAATGCTTCAACACCCTTAAGCGCCTGAGTGTCTTTTACCTGATGCTCTCTACCACTCCGAGTCACTCTGCCTGTGGGATCTATGTACAGCCAGGCGTGAAGCAATGTATCGAGCAAGCAGTGCCAAGGGAAGCGAGCTCCGAATCCAGAGCTATGCGCTGCTCAAAGCTTCTTCTCTGGCATGGCCGGCTCCTTCTCAGATCCGTCACCGATGATGGCGCTGACGCCCTGGGCCAAAACAGTGTCAAGGCGGTCGAAGACAGCCGCAAGTTGCCCCGCAGCTTCCTCCACAAAGCTGCCCTCTGACGAGTCTTCAGGACGAATCACGAGATCCTTCGTGCGACCCTCCGCACCCAGCTCCTGCTGCAACCCCACGGCTGAGAAGATGGTGATCAGGTCCAGCATGGCTTGATGCGCTTAGTCGCTTGGCTCGAGCAAGGCTCCAGGCTCGGGCAAAAATGTGGAGTGGTAGCCAATCCTAATCCTTGACTAATCACCCAGGGAAATCACAACGAAGGGATCACGTTATGTAACTCACGGACAGCCCGCCCAGAGCGGGCAAACTTCAAACACAAGCCGACAGAAGGTGCCTTGAAATGCTTCAACACCCTTAAGCGCCTGAGTGTCTTTTACCTGATGCTCTCTACCACTCCGAGTCACTCTGCCTGTGGGATTTATGTACAGCCAGGCGTGAAGCAATGTATCGAGCAAGCAGCGCCAAGGGAAGCGAGCTCCGAATCCAGAGCTATGCGCTGCTCAAAGCTTCTTCTCTGGCATGGCCGGCTCCTTCTCAGATCCGTCACCGATGATGGCGCTGACGCCCTGGGCCAAAACGGTGTCAAGGCAGTCGAAGACAGCCGCAAGTTGCCCCGCAGCTTCCTCCACAAAGCTGCCCTCTGACGAGTCTTCAGGACGAATCACGAGATCCTTCGTGCAACCCTCCGCACCCAGCTCCTGCTGCAACCCCACGGCTGAGAAGATGGTGATCAGGTCCAGCATGGCTTGATGCGCTTAGTCGCTTGGGCTCGGGCAAGGCTCCAGGCTCGGGCAAAAATGTGGAGTGGTGGCCAATCCTAATCCTTGATTAATCACCCAGGGAAATCACAACGAAGGGATCACGTTACGTAACTCACGGACAGCCCGCCCAGAGCGGGCAAACTTCAAACACAAGCCGACAGAAGGTGTCTTGAAATGCTTCAACACCCTTAAGCGCCTGAGTGTCTTTTACCTGATGCTCTCTACCACTCCGAGTCACTCTGCCTGTGGGATCTATGTACAGCCAGGCGTGAAGCAATGTATCGAGCAAGCAGCGCCAAGGGAAGCGAGCTCCGAATCCAGAGCTATGCGCTGCTCAAAGCTTCTTCTCTGGCATGGCCGGCTCCTTCTCAGATCCGTCACCGAGGATGGCGCTGACGCCCTGGGCCAAAACGGTGTCAAGGCAGTCGAAGACAGCCGCAAGTTGCCCCGCAGCTTCCTCCACAAAGCTGCCCTTTGACGAGTCTTCAGGACGAATCACGAGATCCTTCGTGCGACCCTCCGCACCCAGCTCCTGCTGCAACCCCACGGCTGAGAAGATGGTGATCAGGTCCAGCATGGCTTGATGCGCTTAGTCGCTTGGGCTCGAGCAAGGCTCCAGGCTCGGGCAAAGATACGTCTGCCAAGGCAACATGCAAACGGTCAACGTGGATGCTCTGTGCTGTCGAGCGCTCGGGTCACTGTTCGGCGGTTCCAGTAGCTCATCCAACGGCTGCGCTGCTGAAGACCTGGCCTGAGAGCCATAAGGTGTGCCCGCCATGATCCTAGCCTCTCTCTCTCTCTCTATGTATGGAGGCCTAAGTCCAACCAAGTGCTAGGCTGGTGGTCGAGCAGACTTCACATTATGTTCAAACCTGAGTGGCCCTGCGCCTCAATCGCAATCCAAAGACCTTGTTTTCCGCGCTCAGCGGTTGCCACAAAATGTGAACCCTTCTTTTTGGCTTCTCCCCTCCAAACCATGGCACAATGCATGTTGGAAAACCCATGCAACCTTCGCTGGGCCCCCCCCCAATACTTGGATGCCGGCGACACGCTGGCGCGCAACCGGGGGCAAGTGGAGGCCGCGGTCCACCAGCAGGTGCCCTCAGAAAAGTCGCTAACACGGATCCTTGCATTATACACCTGGGCTTCAGAAAATTTAGAAAAAGAAGGACAAAGGGAGAACCCCGGTCAGAACTCGGCAAGTTCCGCCGCGGCTGAGACCCTATGGTCACCACACCTGAACAGTGCCTTGTCAATGTTGGTTCCCTTTATTTTGGTGTTGAAAAAGCCATGTTTCAATTGGGCAACATGTATCTTTTAAGGAGCCCTGTACAACAAACCGGGCGCCCCACGCGAATCGGCGAGGAGGGCGCGTGCCTAACAAACATGCGGACGCTGAAACGCCGAGCGGCGGCGGGTGGGGGGGCCCATCTGCAGAGCGCAGCTGTACAGAACCTGCCAGTCCTTCGAAGTACACGCCAAGACTTCAAGAACCCTCGGCTCCAAAGAAAAAAGAACCCGAAAACATGCCCAGCGCAACAAATGAGGCAGGGCCCGTCCTCATTTGCCATGGTACTGGTGAAAAGCTTCCTTGGCTGGAACTTGAAGCAATCACTCGGAAACACTGATGGCCGCTGGCCATCTCAAGCTCTGCTTGCCACCAAGGCTCTGCACGTTGGATGCTTCGCCTGAAAAACTCGGGTCCGACCCACGCACGCCAAGCTTCAGAAGCCAAGAGGAAACCACCCATTTGAGGTGCTCCCAGGTTCCCTCTATTTCCCGCTGAAACATCCCCCGTTGGCCCCAAAGGGGATGTGAAAAACAAACAGTAAGAGCAAATGTGAGTGAAACTTCCCAACCAAGGTGAGACCTGGAGAAAGGAATGGACGAACCCCGGTAGGGGAAAATAGAGGGGACCTGCGTGTTGAGACGCGCCCATTTCACGAGAGGTCTAGGCCTGCAACCACCACTTCTGCGAGGAGCTGCAGCAGTGCGCGGGCAGCCCTGGGGGCTGCTGGAATCAGGCGCCCGTTCCTGGACTCGATTCCGCCGACCAACCGCTGGACCCACGACTACCTACCCACTAACCCTTGCCAACCCACCAAAGAGCCCCTTTTGAAAGGAGAATTGTTTCTTTTTTTCAAGGGTATCCAGTTAGGTTCCATGAACAAAAGGTGGAACTGCGGGCAAACGAGCGCGCGTTGACTGCTTCCATGACTCATGACCTCCGACGGCTTCCCATCAGCAGGCAGTGGCGCTCCGCAGGAGCACTGAATCTCGCCAGTGGCTGCATCCTCCCAGTCATCGCAGTACAACACCTTCCTGGGCCACGGGCAATTTTGAAAGCGTCACAATTGGGACGTCCCCTCCAACTGGCTGGCCTCCTGCCAAAAACAGGATGAATGCCTGCATTGACACAGAGAAAGGGAGGGAGACGAAGACAGACCCAGGCACCCAGGCTAAAAGCGGACCTCCCCCCCCCCCTTCAATGCAGGCGGGCCTCTCCATCGCCAGCCAGCCAAGGAGCAGCGTGGCACTGAGCAACGTTGGGGAGTCGGAGCCTGGCCCGGGCGACCGAGAAAAAATTGAGCTGGGGGGAGCAGTGTTTGGACTAACGACTGCGCGAGCTGCGTGCTTGCGAGCGGCAAGATGATGGGAAAACCGCCGCTGGACCCGGAAACCCCGTGATGAATATGGGGCATTCAACCCATCCAAAAGGGCGTCCTTTCAGATTAGGCAGAACAACACTATGAAGCCTCCGGTTTCTGTCCAAATCTCAGCTTGCCTCTGGTTGGTGGTTTTTGGAGGTTAGGGATGGTTTCCAATTTGCCCTACAAGCCAGGTTCAAATCCAAATCTAAACCAATCCAAGCCACCAACCAAACATTGCCTGAACATCCTCAGGGTCGCCTCCTCACACGGCCATGGGTCAAAATCCAAATCGTACCCCCAGTGAACATCCCAATCCGCACCACTAAAATAGGTCCTAAAATGGGTGGTGAATTCACATACCAACCAAAATGATACCATTGGTTTTGACCCACAGCCAAAAAACAAAACAAAAAACTGCCTGTGAAGTCCTCCCAGGGTCGAAGCTCATCAGCCAGGCGCCCCACCACGGCCCAGCAGCAGCCCTCAGCGCCTGTCAGGTTGAACAGGTCATACATCCAGCATTGGAAGGGGAGGCCGGACAACCAATTCTGAGAAGTTGCGTTCGCTGTAAGAATTGAGATGCCAGCAGCCAGCTAACAAGTCCGTCCAGGTATTGAGGAGCAACTTTGCGCCTCAAAAAAAAGAACTACCATCCAGGCTACACCCACCCCCATCTTGGGATAGAATTGTACAGGAAGTAACACGTTTGAAACATGTTGCTGTGAGCCATCGAGGATGCCCGTTTCCGGGAGTGGCCACCGGCAACATCAGCATTGATCAGCGCAGGAGAAGCGCGGGCACAGAAAGCGAGGGATCCCTACTTGAAAAACCATCGACAGCTTGAATCATTTCTCACTGAGACAGGCTTGAACCACATGTCAGCCTCCCTAGCGGTCCTGGGCTGCTGCCACAGGCAAGGATCGCTCCGGCTTCCTAGTCGACAAGCGCGCGGAGCTCGTGTCCCAAAGCCGAAAAAGATCTCATGATAAGACGGGGGTAGCGATCCCTCTATGCCACCTCCAAGCATATTTGGCTGGGGTGAAGCCTCCAGAAAAGAAAGCACGTCAATAGCAAATGACATACAACTACACTCTGCCATCTACAATTTGCCTTGAGGAGGGAGGGGCCGCATCGAGGGGCTAAGCCTCTCCAATTCATTTCCTTGCAAATTGGCAAACTGCTGGACAAATACAGCCCGTCTTCAAAATACGTGACTCCTGCGCAAGTTGGTTTTGCTCGCACCCATGCTGAGCGAAATCTTGTGTTTCCACACCACACCTCTTGGGCTGATTGGACACGAGCGCTAGAGACATGCCAACACACAAAAGGCTATTGGCCCAATTAATTCGTGACAACGTGCTCATGGCACGTATCGAAATTGGGCTGAATGACGCGGCATTGAACCTACGCTTCCCCCAAGTGACGAATACATCGCTGTAGCTCTCTGCGGAGCAGAACAGCGGCGCCATGTCCCAAAGACCACATGAAACAGCCCAGGCAAAGATTGCACTGAGAGTCAACGCACCAGCTTGCCAAAGGGCGCGGCCCGTTTCACCAGAGCGACGATGTCCAAAAACGCTGATTGCGATAGCACCAATACCGAGCGCCGAAGTGCCGCCCGCAAACAGCGGGACCCGTTTCTGTAGCCACTCCGGCAAGCAAAATAGCCTGACTCTACCGAATTCTGTTTTGATTCTGTTGAGTTCTTCATCCTCACCTGCAGCCAGCGCCAGGTATTGCAACATTTTCGTGGCATTACCCTCAAATCTCAGAGTGCGGAGGTCATGCAAGACCAGATCGTAATCAGTTGCTTCCCCGGTGCTCAGAAATCTGAGAAGGCTATTGGGAAGAGAGCCCATGACGTCATTGGCCACGAACGATGCAGACTTTAAGGTGTCTTGAATCAGTCGGATAAACTTCTCCCCGTCCGTTGACACAAATGTGCGGTGCAAGAAGGCGCCGGAGTACGCGCAAAGCAAGGCGAGGAACTGACGGCCTGCCCTGCATGCATGGTGATGGGCGGTCTTCCAAAACTCTACTGCACGTGCGGCCAGGTTAATCTGCCTCCTTGGCGTATCCTCTATCCGGAACATCTCGGCAGCCTTTGGCAGCAAGTTGACATCCCACACTCCGGCCTCACATAGAGTGGCAAGGGCAATGTGGAAGTCTGCCAGGACACCGTGACTGAGCCTTTTGCTTTCAACAATGTCAATTGCCATGAGCCTGAGCTTGTCAGCGTCCTCCAAATCATCCAATTGCTTATACAGCGTCCGCGTGATGACTCCTGAGATCCACCAGACCTGCGCGGCATCGCGGTGCTCCCCGTCCCATGTGAAGGAATCAATGTCCATTGCTCGTTGAGGGAGAAATATGCTCTTGCGATGTGGGTATTTGCGCGCAAATGCTGAGAGGGTGGCTACGCGGACAAAATCGCTGATACCGCGATGATATTGCAAGGCCCAGCTGACGCTTTGTAGACGCACGAAGCAAAGGTCTTCCGAACCAAAAGATGTGATCCCCCGCAAGCCGAATTGACAAATCTGCAATAGCCGACTCTGCGTTCCAACTCGGCTTCTTCGGGTGTGTGCGTAAGAAGTCCAAAATGCAGGCGCTGCTGTCTAATCCAGGCAGTGGTGAAGGTTGCAGCGACATCATCCAATACATATTCCACGCCTCCCACCCCACAGGCTGCTTGCACGAAAACGTCTCTTTGCCCACGCTGAGCGGCATCAAACACCACCCTCCCTGAAAAACAGCTATCTGTAACGATCTCGAGTTGATGCGGCTGACCATCTCGCTTGTCTCGCCTGGCAAGCTCCCACTGCTTCATGACATCATGAAAGGTGAGATGTCTACTTCCCTGAGAAAATTCCCAAAAGCCATCTTGTGTGCCATGACAAATGAGAAACAAAAGGTGAACTTCATGCTCAAGAAGTTGCGGATTTCTTCCAGCAGCTGTTCCGGTTTCAGCGAAGACCAGGAGCCTTTGTGATGTACGTCAACCCACTCTAGCTTGTCGAAAAACATGTCGAGTTGCCAGAGATTGACCTCTGCACCGTGGAGCCTCCGGCCAGGAGGAGCCGAACAATGTATGAAAGCCCCGGTGTGTGCTGCAGCACTTGACGAGCTGGAGCTGGTCATAGTTTTCTTTGATGAAATTATATCGAAGATGTTCTGCCTGTGTTGACAAGGTGGCCTCTTGCGGTTTCCGCATCAATCAAGAAGCTGTGGGGGAGGAGTTGTGCTTCTGTGGCGAAGGCTTGTTGCGCCACCCATTTTGCGTTCTATGTCATGTGTTGCACATGCTCCCTGAAAGTGCCAACGACTGCAATCTAAACCTCCGAGAGAAACCCATAAGCACAGCAGACACTTTTGTAGTGCTGGCGTCTCACCCACCCCGAAAGAAAATTGCCTGGAAGGAAATCAGGATGTGCCAGTGGACCAGAAAGGGGAGGGGGCAGCCACACCCAAGCAACAACCAACCGCCCCAGCCAGCTAGGCAAACGCTTACCTCTCAAATGGATTTCCACTACCAGCTACCTCCGAACCACTACCCCCAGGTGAATGTGTGTATACGGTAAATACCCTTTTTTCAGTGGCTTCTTAGTGGCTGTGCATCTCATCAAACCCTGGGAGTAGCTTCAGTTTGGTAGTGGAAGCCATCTTAGACTACCCAGAAACTTCCCCTCGAGAATGGTGGCGTCCCTTGCCCCCCCCAAAAAAAAAATGCGCACACGTACACACGTACACGCACACGCAAAAACAAACACAAACACACTTATCTCGAGAGGCTTCACTAGCCGAGATGCAGAACGCAGTCAGTAAAAATGCTTGAATGCAAATGCAAATCAACAGGTCACAACATGACAAACAGAAACCGCAAAAAGAATCAGGAAAGAGGGTCAGGAAATAGGCAGGTACGCCGGATTGATCAGATCCGGTATCCACCGAAATGCCGTAGCTTCATTGGACTGGATAGGCAAATCGGCTCCAGTCCTCGAGAGAGATCCCCTGCAATGTGGAATTTCCGTCCGTGCTCCAGGACGCTTCACACACACGGAGCCCCAACTGGGGCGACATCACTTGTGCAAGGCCCATTGAGTCTTGCAAGCATCAATTGTGCGAGAAAGTCTTGTGGCGATGACTGACCACACATACTTGGCTTTGGAATTGGTCTTAAGGGAACGGAGGAGTTCAATCTCTCCCTCAGTCCAAGGCTGCGAGGCTTCAGGTTCGGCCTCAGTAGAGGCATCAGTCCTGGTCGATGTGGTAGCTTCGCTTGGTCCACGAGCAGGTTTTGGATGCCGTAGATCGTGAGGAGGCCAAATCACGTGCGCGGCGAGCTCGTTTTTCGCCGGGAGAAGACGGAGGAGGGGTGGGCGGAGCCCAATGATCAGGGAATTGTTCGTCATGATCAGTGGGAAGGTGTTCATCTGGAGCATCAGGAGGTGGCTCAAAGAGGTCCTCAATGGCAGGGTTGAGCGTGGCCTCCGGTGCCAAATCAGGTTCGGCAGGCGGACTCTCAGGGAACTCGCGGATGGTGGCGATGCCTTGTTGGGCAATGCCAAGGATGAGTTCGAAGTCTTGGAGCAGCTGGCGTGCTGCGTTGGTATCCATGCTCGTAACGGATTCTGGTCAAACAGTCAAACAGCTGCGGCGCGAAAATCAGGTTAAATCTGTCAGGATGCAAAGGCAGAGAAGAAAACCAGTGTGGTTCCGCAAAGGACGGTTTTTCTTCTCTTTGTAAGGTGAAACCGTGTTGGAGGTGCAACCTCTTCAACATTGCAAGACCCTGACCTCGCTGAAACTCAGGAAAGGAAACTCGGTTGATCAGCGTGCGTCCGGAATAACATCCAGATTCCTTATGCATCAGTGGTGCGGCTGACTTGACGGAGAGCATGTTGTGCTTCTCATGCGAGGGGATGAAGGAGATGGTGCTGCTTGTGAGGTTCAGTCGGAACCCCAAGAAGTCCAGGGCGGCTTCTGTGTCCAGGAAGATGTCTCCTCCATAGAAGTGTTCGTCGCACAGTATGTTGGCTGCCGGAGCCGAGAGCCACCTGGGGGTTGCGATCACGAGTCTGTTGTCCACGTAGCGGAGTAGGAGAGTATCTTCAACGGAGCGAAGTCCCGATGTGATGTGAGTGTTGGTCCAGCATTGTTCGGCGACCGCGATCACCATCAAACAGAGAGCTGGGGACGCGGGGGATCCCATCGGTGCCCCACGTGTTTGCCTGAATGAACGAAGGCCGACAGAGAAGATCTGCATGTCAAGGGTGGCCTGAATGATCTCGGGGATGTCGTCGAGCCACAGGGTGCGTTGTGTGGGTTTGTGTCGGCGACGGCGTCCGTTGTAGACGCGGGTGATGGCAGAGGTGTCAAGTGTGTCCACTGTGAGGTGTGTGGTAGAGGAGTGTGGTTGTCGTTGTCGGTACCAGGTTAGCAGTAGTCGCCAGGCGAGGAAGGGTGCAAGCATCGGTCTGGAGGGGCCAGGTGGAATGAGGCCCCGGAATTGTAAACTGGATCGAATGGCGGAAAGGCATGCCTGGTGGTGTGGTTCAGGCAGGTGTGTGGCTATGCGATGAAGGACATAGAGAGCGGCGGGTGGGAAGTCTCTGCTCCGTATGTAACGGATGGCATCAAATCGTCGTAGAGTGTTGCTGCCAAGATCGCCCAAAAATCGCCACAAATCCAGGTGGTTGTCCACGCGTTTGGCCAGGAAGGCCTGTTGTAGGGCGATGGGTAGTCGTAGTCGGCGGCGTTTTCGCCAGATGGTGGCGAAGCCCATGTGCCGGGATTGGGAGAAGTCCAATTGGCGTATGAAGCCCGTGCGTGGCCGGAAATGTTTCTCGATGAAGCCAAAATTGAGAGACGGTTGCAGTTCCTGGATGTAGAACTGTTCAGTGGCAAATAGGTCCGTTGCCGGAACGACAGTG